TAAGAGGTCCAGTTACTAACAGCAGTCATGAAGCCTTCCACCTCTGCCGTGTTGGCCACCCTCTTTGGGTTCGCCGCTGCTCAATGTAACAGGGACAACTGCCTGAGAGGTGAGTGATCGTCCACCCTTACTTCGACCCTGGAGGGCGATCTACAATAGAAGGGCCACATGGACTGACTTACACCCCCACGTGTAGCCATTGCTGCCAGTGCCTTCACCACCAGAAGCGGTACTGCCGACTGCTCTCGGTACCTGCAGGTGACCGTCTACCCCGGTGCCACGTAAGTGCCTCTATCACGAGCCCTCTCAACTACTCCACTGCCCATCATCCAGAAGGACTAACACCTCAGCAGGACGACCACCACAACCGTGACGGTCCCGACCAGCGGAGTCTTCACCTCCACGGTGACTCTCACTTCCGGCGGCGGCGCCGGTCCTGTTGAGACCAGCCTCGTCGTCGAGACCGAGTTGGCCTCCTCCACGGCCACCTCCCTCGTCGGCGTCACCCAGATCACGACCGTCGCCACAGAGGTCGTCATCGTTCCCACCACTATCGTCGTCTCCTCTACCCGGACCCTCACCTTTGGCACCACCGAGATCACCACCATCGCCACCGAGACCCAGACCATCTTCGAGACTATTGCCCTCAAGAAGCGTCAAGCCGCCACGACCGCCATCTCGGCAAACACCTTCCCGGCCTACGCTTCCGCCTGCAGCTCCGTCGCCCGCTACGCCTCGGCCTGCTCGTGCCTCGGCGTCACACCCAACACGGTGACCTCGGCCGTCGCCACCGCCACGGCAACCGTCTCGGTCCCGGCCACGATCCTGTCCACCTCCATCGTGACCGTCACCGTTTCCGGCAGCGGATCTCCTGGCTCCACGGCCCTCTCCACGACCACAACGACCTCGACCGCCGTCACCACCGTCCTCGCCACGTCCACGGCCTTGGAGGCGGTCACAGCCACGACCTCCGTCGGCAGCACGTCTACGGAAGTGGTTGAGGAGGTTACCTCTGTGACTGGTACTTTCTTTAACAACGCTACCTTCACCACCTTCGTTACCCGCACTACCTCGCTGCCCCCTATTTTCAACACAACTATTACCATTGGACCCTCATCCACCACGTCCGAAGCCGAGTCTTCCTCCACTGGTTCTACCATCTTTGACAGCACCAGCACTGAGGCTAGCTCATCCGCTCCCTCTTCCTCTTTCTTCCCCAACTCTACCATTATCTCTACTATTTCAGAGACTTCTTCCACCTTTACTTCTACCATTTTCCCCAACATCACTTCTACCGGATCCAGCTCGTTCCCCAGCGAATCTTCCATCACCTCGACCTTCTTCCCCAACACCACAATCACGTCCGAGTCGACCACCATCACGTCGAGCTTCGCCTCCACCACCGTGTTCCCCAACACGACCACGTCCTCCGTTGAGAGCGAGTCGAGCACCGTCTTCCCTACCAGCAGCGGCTTCCCCAACACCACAATCACCTCTGGCAGCGAGACCTCGACCGTCTTCCCTACCACCACGCTCTTCCCGAACTCGACCACCTCCGAGACCGCCTCAGTCTCGCCCACCTTCTTCCCCAACAGCACGACTCTCACCTCTGGTAGCGAGTCCTCTGCCTTCCCTTCGTCGACTCTGTTCCCCAACACCACCACGGCCACCACCGTCACCGAGTCTTCTTCTACTTTCACTTCCATCTCTATCTCTAGCTTCTTCCCTAATGTGACTTCCACCGAGTCGACTTCCGCCTTCCCTACTTCCACTCTCTTCCCCAACGTCACCTCCACCGAGTCCTCCACGGTCTTCCCCTCATCCACCCTCTCCCCCAACACTACGACCCTGACCATCTCGGAGCCCTCCACGACTCTGACGTCCACCTCCACCTTCTTCCCCAACGTCTCTTCCACCGAGTCGTCGGCCCTGTCCTCCTCCACCGTGGCCCCCAACGCTACCCTGACCGTCATCACCTCGGGCACCGAGACCTCGACCCTGTTCCCCACGTCGACTCTCTTCCCGAACTCGACCGCCATTGAGTCCTCCACCATCACCTCCCTGACTTCCTCTGTTGGCCCTACCTTCTTCCCCAACAGCACCACCTTCTCCGATGAACCCACCGTCACCATCAGCATCATCAGCTCCACCTCTACCGATGACGTGAGCTCTTCCACTTCCGCCTCCGAGACCTCTTCGTCAGCATCTTCCACCGCCGATGAGTCCTCCTCAGCTTCTGCCTCCGCCAGCAGCACCTCCACCTCAGACACCTCCAGCACCGCCTCCTCCAGCGCAAGCAGCACCTTCGTCACAAGCACCCTGACCACAGTTACCTCCTCCTCAACCTCCTCCTCCGCAACCCCGACCTCAACAGACGTCATCGCCAAGAACCTCTGCCTCAAGGTCGCAACCGGCCCCACGCCCGGCTCCGTCGTCGCCCTCGGCTCAAACCGCTTCACAATCAAGCCAGCCGGCACCGAAGCAGCCCTCTTCGACCTGAACCTCTCCACCGGCCAACTCTTCCAGACCAACGGCGAGCTCGTCGCCGTTCCGGCCCCTTACGCAGACGACAACCGCCCCGTCAACGGCTTCACCTCGCGCCAGACCCTGGTCCGCAAGCTCGCACCCTTCGTCTGCGCCACAAACGGCCAGTCCCTCCTCGTCGGCGTCCCCCTCAACTGCACCGCCTCCGGCGACGACGGCGTCAACCAGAACACGTACTCGCGCTTCTTCTACAACAAGAACTCGGCCGACTCGGTCCTCCGCGTCGCGACCGCGGGTCGTCCCTTCACCAACAACAACCAGGCTATTACCCTGGCTCCCTTCAACCAGGGCGACTGCTAGATTCTTTCTGTGACCGTTCTTTGAAACTGGTTTTCTTTTTCCTTTTTGCAAAACAAATGACAGCCCACGAGGCTTGGAATCTCTGTACTTTTACCATGATTGGGCGGATTTGGGAGCCATAATCATGTACTATATACTTTGGACCCGCGTAATGGATAGCTCACTACATACACTCGTTACAAATTGAACACTTTCTTTTCTGATACATTAGCTTTCAATGACTTTTCCTGACCACGTCGTGACATTCCGAGTTGACAAAACGACTTGAATGCTTGCCGACGGCATCAATGGGGTTGACCAGCAAAAAGTGAATGTCAAGATTGGTGCCTTGCTGGAGAGAATACAACTCTCCCGAGCTTCAGTCTAAAGTTTCGATCCTAAAGTCATTCCGAGTAGACGGCGTTGGTATTGTGGAATTATACGGTAATTCTACATGCTGGCTGACATTGCCAGTGAGTATTGACTGAACGAAATAACGTTTTCCTAATTCTTCGTTAGAAATAAACTCACGATAAATCATCTGTTGTATTAAAGCAAAAAATGCATTTCGTAAGCGGGATACATAGAAACAAGGAATGTCAAGGGCTGGTCTGCCAAGAATCCCAACTGGGCCGGCATAAATCCAGTTTCTTGACAACGATCGACTATGCGTTCCGGCCCTTCCGATCCCAGGGGTTCCGAAGGGCATTGCGGGTTTGGTTCCAACATTATCGGATCCAGATCTCAAGAGACTTGAGCCTGCCGTCACTATTCTCTTCTTGACGAAAGCAAGGTCTCATTGTTGAGCTGAGGTTCGACACGCGCGTCTGTCGTTGTCGCTCACGTGCCGCTGTTCGGCAGATTGCTGGCTCGGGCGGCGCGGGGGCCGCCGACCGGGTCCGCAATCGGCCGGGGCGCAAGATCTAAGCCGGAGGGAGCCAGCCCTGCCCCGTGGCCCGTGGGCCAGGAGGCCTTTGCAGGACATCGGAAAGCCACCCGAAAATACTTACCTCGGCACGCTTCGATCCTTTCAATCTAGAATGCAATTGACAATGCCACAGTGCTGGATGACGAAGATGGCTCATCAACCGTTCGTACGCCGACGGCAGCCAACATCGGAAGGGAGACAAAAAAAAAAAAAAAAAGCGGCTGTGCACTGCCGTGGTTCGTAACTTCGTACAAAAGTATTTGTAGCGTGCCCACTTTCCGTAAGCATGCTTTTGATCCGTCCGTTCGGTAGCTGTGAGCCACGTTCTCGTAGCATCGAACCGGTGCCCGCCCGATCGTACCTTGATTGAGGTGTCGAAAAATAGCAGGCAGGTGCCGCAATCGAGGCTGAAGCTTATAGCCAGATATCGAATCATTGTGACCAAGCGATCATGACGACCGAAACTTCTTTGATTGAATTCTAGCGTTGAAGCGGGAGCGGAGAAAGCTCGGGCGGGGGATTGAGAATGATACAGAGGCTTGAAGGTGCAGGCTGCAGCTACGGATGCCTAAGACGAGTTATCCTAGCTCTCATAAGAATCTTGCTACCTATTGGCTCGCAGATTTGATTCCAGCCCAGTCAACCGTCGATTGTGTGTGTCACTCGTGTCTGCACAGCTGCAGTCATAGTTGACGTTTGACGCCATTCAAAGGCTCTTGATCGAATCTTGATGCGTACAGTCAGGTAGGTCGACGGCGGCCAAACCGAGGGAAGAGATGGACGGCCACTGGGAGTTCCTAGACCCAACTCAACGGATACGCGCAACGGAAGCGAACCCGGCGACCGTCGCACTGTCCAGACGCAGGGACCGCACAACTGGAACTCGATATGGAGGGCCCCGTCTGCGACGGTCAAGCTTTTTTCTTCTAAGGCCGCAAGGCCAACAATACGGAGAAGAGCGTGAGCCAATGGCCGGGGAAGTCTCCACTGGACGGGAACTATGTACAACTTGGATTTCTCAAAGTGGAAGACGAAGACGGTGGGGCCGTTTCTTCCATCACCATGTTTTTTTGTCCCTCCGTCTTTTCCCCCCCTCGAGGGTACGGCCATTTCACTTCTCCACTTTGCCAAGGAAGCTTCGCCACCACAAGAGGGGACCTTCAATTCGCAACTCACCGCGATGGAAGGAGAAAAAAAGAATGGAGAAACGGCCAATTTAGTTCTTCATTTTCAGAGTTATTGGCCTAGGTCATGACGGCGAGTCATCTAGATCATGGTGGGATAATCGTCGCATGGCTTTGTCAGCCCTGACCGTCTCGCGCTGTCTTTCTACTTCACGGCGGATGGAGAGGCAAGCAATACTGATCGAAAAATACCCGTCGTATAATATGTACGCCGTACTATCTATGCGTTGTGTTACGGATGCTTTAGTGGCTGTAATGCTGATTTCGTTGCGAGATTGGCGTATGAGTGTGAAATGTGAAATGCAGGGGGCAGATGTGGGTTCTTGGCACCGCCATGAATCAGAGGAAAACGAATTCGTGATGGGCAGCCGAGGGGACTCACGGCCAACAGGAGACGTGACGAACACTGGTGGAACGTGATAATAAACAGACTGAACCATTCGGTCCACGGGAAACATTGGATGGCGGGCGGCATGTGGGAATGGCAGCGGCAGGCAGATCCATGCCGTCCGATTGAGACCTGCGTCCTCCGAAGAAATGCTGCCGGATGCGCGTCTGAGAAACGTCGTCGTTGAGCCTGGAGGCAAAAACTGCCGGCCGACAGGCGCTACGCCGCTCGCAGCCGCACGCGGCATCTTGATGGCCCAAGCTGGAAGCTGCCGTGAAGGCAGCGAGAACTGGGAAGTGATGGTGTACCTGATATGCTGTACGGAGCTCTTAGGCGTGGCTTTCAAGGACTCGCTGACTGTGCAGCGGCTGACAGCCACATTAGTATCCGTAACAAGCAGCGGCTTGAGCTTGAGCTTCATATCCAGACATTGAATGCCAGGCGTGCCAACTTGGATTATTAAGGGGACTCCGCCAAGGCCCAGTGTGATGTCGGCGATGATGGCCAGAAAAGTGCTGGCGAGATTGGCACGAAATGAACAAAATATGGCGCCTGGCTCGCCTCGTCTCGCCTCACACGCCAAGGCCCGAATATACCAGCGCCTGCTTGCAAGTTGCGGGCACCGCACCGTGACTTGCCGCACGGCTCCAGACGGGAAGCAAGCCTGGAAACAGCAGGATCGTCGTCGCGCCGCCCGTTTTTCGTATCGGCATTCGTACGGTACTCGTGGGTACGAAGCAACACTGCTGCCAATACACGTCCGGTGCCCTGCACGTAGACCGGGCCTGGCCATCAGAGACTCAGGGCTTCGAGTGAGGTCTCCAGGACACACAGACGGGGACTTTCGGGGGCTTGCAACTGTTGCCTGTAAAGTCTTTGAGGGGCACAAAGCATCGGTGAGCAAGGCCTGGGAATTATAGGTTAGCTGATGCGCATCAGATCACTGGTGGTCGGTCGAGGAGTCGTGAGTTTCTGAGGCACGGATGGGTAGGTACCTGTAGGTATGCACACGCACATCCGTTCACAAAGTGACACACTAGAACAGGAGGGAGTGAGAGGGAGCAATACCTAGACTCACTGAACAAGAATTGAAGGCATCGGAGTGCAGAGTAACCCGACGCTGGCTGGCAAGCTGCAACTCCGTACCTTACATTGCAGCGTCTTGGATTCTTGGCAGTGGAATGAGTCGACAGCGAATCAATCTCGATCAAGGGCCGAGGGAAAGGTGGAGCAGGATATCAATGCTGCCAACGGCCTGGGCCAGGAGAGACCCGTCTGTGGTATCGTGTGGTCCAATCATCGGCAGAGCTGCTATTTTCTGCGTCTCTTCGCCCCCGTGGAGGTGCATCTGGACGAATGTGCCTGTGCCAGAAACAAGAAACTCGAATCCAGGGAATCAAGCGATCAACTTGGGCGCCTCCACGTGTCGATGGCGGTCGGGCTCAGCCCAGTGGGCAGATGGATGGAGCGAGTGGAGGAACTGCGATGCAAGTAAGCTCGACGGCCGCCAGCGTGCTCGTGCGTGCCCAATTCTTTCTGCCTGGAGATCAGGAAGCAATATTGTTGTCAGCGCGCAATTAAAACAGAAGGTAAATGCGTGGTGATGATGGCCAGAGTGTACGAGGATCCCGTTTGGGAGTTGATGGCAATGCAGCAGTCAAGAAATCAACCCCCAAGGCAATTCGTAAGTGCAGACAGTCACGCAGTGAGAGTCGTCACTCACCCAATTGCTGCAAAGGCAACTGCAAAAAGAAGAAGAAGGAGCAGTCCTGATGAAGTGGAGCCGCATGGCCCCTGTTTCAGCTCCGCCCCCCTGCTCCTTCCACCGGTTCTCACTGGCTTCCCACCTGGGTCCGAAATGTGGGTTCCTTCCCCGGGGCTGGCCGCTCCAAGTGCCCCACCTCCTTGTCTTTCGCTCCTTCCCTTGGCCTGACATTTTTTTTTTTGTAGACTGGGGCAGGAACAGGAGGAAACACGCGCCTTCCATTGGGTGAAGCGAGGCAGGCATTGGCCGTTTGACGATCCGGCAGCGGGAAAGGTGTGAAGGTCTGGACTGAAAAGGAAAGGCGCCAAGGGGTGCATCTGTGGCCTGCAGGAGCGAATGTTCTTTCTCAGAGGAAGGAGTGACCCATTGGGCCAAGGAGTGGTAGTGCTTTGGAAGCAGGAGCGAGAAAAGACGGTAAAAAACAAATAACATGGTCATGGAAAATAATAGTAAAAAAATATCGGTGGCCGCAGACGCGACGGTGACATTTCTCTCCTCTTGGCTGCTGTGCGCCTCGTACTTACTTAACAAAACATCTCCTATTCGTATTTCTTCCTCCTACACTCACTTCCTCCTTCTGACTCTTTTCCTTCCTCTGAAAACCGCCCTCCTGTCACTACTATCCGCCATACTTGTTCATCTTTTCTTTTCGTCCGACACTCGCTTTTCACCAATTCAACCCCCTGATCACCAAATTCCTACTTCACGGTAGCCGTACCTGCGCTTACCACACACCATCTCACCTCCTGGCCCTGGTCAACGTCCACACCATCAGCGCCCTTTTCGAGTTTAACTCCCGTCTAATATCCCAACCTCACACAAGGTCCCCCCTCCTTCTCTCACCATCTTCCCGACCAATTTCGTTACCCCTTCCAGCGCTACCGCTTCATACACCAAACACTCCCGCGCCAAAAGCTGCCTTACCGTCCTTACGTAGTACGGTCCTTACTCTTTTCGACCGACCATCCCTCACTCCCGCCGCCATCGCTGCCGATTGACGGACAGGGTCTGTCTATAATTGACAAGTTAGGAGCATATCAATAAGCTCCTTCTTCCCTTCCCGCTCCCCTTCTTCCCTTCCTCTCCCGGATATGCCACACCTCAACACCTCGGCCTACGAAGTTCCAACAATCAATATACCAACGAACGACTCCGGAGTCACGCCTCACATCATGGCTGAAGAAGGCGGCCACGCGCCTACGGGCGGTAACAACCACAACCCTGCGAGCGACAACCAGCACCACCAGGATTTCACCATCAAGCCGCGCATGACCGACTTCAACTCAGAAGAGCTGCGCGATACCATGTCCCCTACGGGCCCCATGACCCCGAACCCGTTTAGCAGAAAGAACACCAGCATTGACATTGACGACTACTTCACCGGTCCTCGCGACATTCTCAAGCACTCCAAATGGCCTCTGTTCATGCAAATGCACGGCAGCATTTTGCCCAAGATGATTGTTCCCCTGATCTGGATGTCTCTGTGGGCTGCCGCTATCACCGTCATCGACAAGTACCGTACGACTATGGGTGTCGACTCCGTCTTGCTTACCGTCCTGGGTTTCGTCGTCGGTTTGGGTCTTTCTTTCCGCAGTTCTACCGCCTATGAGCGCTACGCCGAGGGTCGTCGTTACTGGGCCCAGCTCATTCTTGCGACCCAGAGTCTTGGCCGCGTCTTCTGGATCCATGGTGGTGACAATGAGGGTATCGATCCTAGACAATCGCTGCTCCGCAAGGTTGGCTGCATGAACCTGCTCCTCGCCTTTTCCGTCTCCCTGAAGCACAAACTTCGCTTCGAACCCTACACCCAGTACGAGGACCTCGAGCATCTCGTCTCCCACATGACGACCTTTGCGCAAGAAGCCACGTCTGCCGAGCCCGAAAAGATGACCCTGAAGAAGAAGAACTTCTTCAAGGAGACTGGCGAGTACCTCGGTGTTTCTTTCGCCGCCAGCAACCCTCGTAAGACCATCAAGAAGGCCTCCCGTCCTCTCGGCAACCTGCCCCTCGAGATTCTCTCCCATATCTCTTGCCTCGTTGACAAGATGGTCGAGGATGGCCAGCTCAAGGTCCCTATGCAGCAGACTCTCGCCTACAACAACGTTGCCCTCCTGAACGACATCATGACCGGAACCGAGCGTGTCTTGACCACGCCTCTCCCCATTGCGTATGCCATCGCCATCAGCCAGATCACCTGGGTCTACGTTATGCTGCTTCCCTTCCAGCTGATTGACAAGCTCGGCTGGATCACCATTCCCGCCACCGTCGCTGCTTCCTACATCATTCTCGGTATCCTCTTTATCGGTCGCGAGATTGAGAACCCCTTCGGCGAGGACGTCAACGATTTGCCTCTTGAGGTCTACTGCGAACAGGTTGCCTCTGAACTGGACATTATCGCCTCATTCGAGAAGCGCGACCCCTACCGCTTCATGGAGTCTTCCCAGAACCTGCCCCTGTTCCCCGCTAGCATGGCTCCCTACCACATCTGGATGGGCCGTTCCGAGAACCGCGTCCGTGAGGCGATCAAGTCCAAGCACAACACCGTCTTTGAGTTCCGTAAGAAGGTCATTCTCGAAAAGGTGGCGTCAAGGGCCGGCAACACCGCAACAGAGAAGAAGCCTAGCAGCGAAGGCACTACTACTATTAACGGCGATCACAATGTCTAAACAGACCGCCTGTGCGTTCGCTTTGCTTCGAGTCTTTTCTTCATCTCTCTTCCTCCCCTCTATTTGCATCAGAAAGGGTTTGGGCGAGAGGGGTTTCAGCGATTTGCGTCAAGGAGCATTTACGGTACGGAAAAACAAAAGATTCTTTCATACATGGCCCCGACAGGTGGCTTTTTGCGGCATAGGAACGGTTTCGGATCTTTCTTTTCACTGTAATTACCTGATTCCTGGATGACATAAAAGGACAGGTGTGGTTTTGAGCGCGGCATTTCCTCTCATGGCATTGAGACGACAACAGAAACAACATACCAAAATTGAATGCAAAACATTTCAAAAAGAAGGACTTTCTTCAGAGTGCCGAGTGAACTATATTGAGCAATATGCATTCGTGTCTTGATCTCGCTGCTGACTCTCATACTCCGAATAGGCATTGCTCCTCCACCTTGACGACAAGATCCCATCCTCGATCTCGAAAGTCTGGGTCCTATCGAATAACGGCGCGGGCCGCCCTCCGTAAAGTGGGTGTGCGAGTGGGTTTCCTCGGACCTCGATTGACTAGGGTCTGAGGCAGAACGTCAGACCAAGCGGAAACCAAATCAAACGTATAGCATATGCGCACGACTCTTACTTATAGGTTACCTTGGATCGAAACAAGGGGCCATTTCCTCACCTGCGAGAACCACGATGTCGACTCATGGGCCATTCTAGACTTTTGCGCAATACTCGATCTTGCGACTTTGCTTCCGCCAGGGGGCCCGGCGAATGGTAGTCGACCCAGGCTCAGAGCATCGGCCATGTTCATACCCCGGTCTTGCAGCCTCTCGGCGGTTTTCTCGGTATGGATATCATACTTGCCTACGGCAAGCCGAGCCGGCCGCCCGTCAATGTAGCGCCCGGCTCCGCGTTCTTTAGTTTGGGACCGGAAGGTGGATTTTGACGCCAATGGAGGGGAACGCCACGTAAACGCCACGAGAATCAGTGTCTTGGGACGGACCCGCCGGTGTAACCGAGATTTTTACATCATATCTGTCCACCTGCTCAAGCAGCCATGCCTGCCATGGTAGGGCTTTCATCTGACAAGGCGTGACAGGTCGATCTGGTCGATTCCGAGTCTTCGGACCAGATTTCCGGGTTCCCATCGATCGCCCCCAAGGGTCGCTTTCTCCACTTGGCTGAAGACACCGTCGCGCCTCACTACGTATGTGCCTTGTGTGCGTACTTTGGTGTGCGACAGGATCCACCGAAGAAATGGACTGAACGACTCATTCCCTACGACTCAATTGTTATCTTGAGGACAGTTGCAACGATTGGTAGCACTGGAGAGGTTCATGTTCGTCGCACGCTGAATTCGGAGCTGGTTCGTGCATGGACTCTGTTATCGGCCGATATTTCTACACGGCGCCTTGTAGCGGGTGAGACATACCGCTGAGAAACAGAACATCTTCAAGTACTGAAAGAAGCTCAGGACGTTTTGACGAAATGCTAACAAGTTACCGGCTCCCATTCCGAATTCGGTGGTTCGAATGCGGCCATGGGAATGGTTACATGTTTCAGGAGAGGCGAAAGTTCTTCTACGATGAAGATGAATTTGATACAGGAGCAAAGATGGACTGGCGTGACTGAGTGCTTAGTTTTATCGAACCCAGGTGGGAAGAAGATCCAGCCACGAGTGGGCGTACTCTAAGCGTGGATTGGTTCGCCGGATCCGGAGCGGCCATCGTGCAGCCGGGGACGCGGCGTCTGAGACCTTCTCTTTCCGAACGCATGCCGGGAATGGATTGAGGCTCGTGTAAGCGCCGAAGTTTAAGCCCGTGGCGTTCTTTTGCGCGTATATGTGGTAAAGGCCTTCCCTTTTTCACTGTGGACGGCCCTACCTGTCTTTTCTGGTTCTGCTCTTCTCTTCGTTTTTCTCAATTCCTTGTTCTTGTCTTGAACTCTCTTGCTTTTGTTCGACTGCATGCTGTCATCATTCACAGTCGTGTCTGAAAAGGGTAATTCAGTTGAGGGCTTCAGGTCCCCTAGCTTCCAAGCAGCTTGGAGGGGCTGCGAAGCCAACCTCGCACTCGCTTGGAGAGAAACGAACCGAAACACGACTGGGACTCCCGTCGCCCAAAAGGACGGAACCCAGATCCCCGATGCGCGTCTCGGAATAAAGATTGAAAACAACCAGGGCATCGAGATTACTCAATGTTGATCTGGCCTGGGCTAGAAAAGGAAGACATGGACGTGTCTTCCAATGAGACCACCGAGGGAGGCTTCGGCTCGACGCAGATGCAGGCGCTCTCTCACGAGAGCCTCGCTAACATGATGCTCGGCGTCATCATCGCGGTGCTCGTCGTCACGACTGTTTTTGTCGGGCTGCGGATCTACGTGAGGGCGCGGGTTATTAAGAAGTGGGGTGCCGACGATACGATGGTGACGCTTTCGTTTGCTACGGTGGCTTTCCATGGGATCATGCTATGTTTGGGTAAGTTTGTGATATTGAACTTATTGGATTTAACCGCGAAGGAGTAGGTGTTCAGATGGAGAGGACAATCATGGAAGGACACTGTATGGGCTGACGTGGGTGAGAGGGACACAGGTACCAAATTCGGACTTGGAAAGCATGTCTGGATGACGCAGACACAAACAATTGAGAAAGCTCAAAAGGTTAGCTTTTCCAAACATGGGAATTCCATCTCTGCCTCGGATGCTAATTGTACATGCCTAAAAACAGCTCGCAATGTTCATAATGATGATCTACAGCATCGCCTTCATCACCATCAAGATCGCCTTCCTCCTCCAATACCGCCGAAGCTTCCCTCTTCTCATGGTCGAGATGCTGTGCAATGCGGGCATCGCGTTTCTCGTTCTGTTTGGAGTATCCTTGATGGTATCGGCGGGCATCACATACAGTTTGGTCCTCAAGCGCGAGATGACGGATTCGCCCGTCAGTGTGTTGGGATGGTGGCTTGCCAATGCGTCAATACACCTGCTTACGAACATCTTCATCTTCGTTCTGCCGTTGCCGTTGCTCGGAAGGCTAAGACTTCGGCGAGGGGAGAAGCTGGCTCTCGTCATCAGCTTTACCCTGGGGCTACTGTGAGTTAAAACCCTTTCTTCCTTCATGAGAAACTTTGGTACTAATGCGGATTTGTTTCCGCCCAGAACATGCGCAGTATCCGTCATGCGGATCGCATATCTCCCAGGGTCTTTTGACATGGTCGACATGACGTACGATGGGATATCCATCATCCTCTGGTCCGTCGTAGAACTCTCTTGCGCAGTCATCTGCTGCTGTATCCCCACCCTCCGACCGCTCGTTGAACGAAGACAACAAGGCCTCACCGACGACTACGACGACGCTACCATCTTTGGCGGAGGCATGTTCAGAGAGGACATGACTTTCGGCGAGGGCCCGCAACGCGTTCTCCCAGGTATGAACGGGGTCAACAACGAGAGGATATCGTCGTCCATCAGCTGCGCCTCGGAAACGGGCATGAGGAAACCCGGTCCGACCTTTTTCTGGCTACGCACGCGGAAGCAGAGCGACCACTCAAGCATCAACGGTCTCGACGACATTGAGCCCGTGCCCATGCCTCTGCACGCGGGGCCCATGATGGCGGCGGCCGCTGCCGCGATGCCGGTGGTGGAGGTTCATGGGGTCCGGCGGGAGAGCGAGCACGGCATCATCGTTGTTGAGAGTGAGCGCGTCGAAGGGGGTGTGGAACGTGAGCGTGGGATCCCTCGACGGGCGAGCGTGAGAAGTAGTTTGCGGAGTGATAGCAGTCTCGGCGTGGCGCTGCGTAGGGATCTGAGTGTGAGGAGGCATATGAGCATAGCGTTAACGGAACGGGATTCGGATGATGATGTGTACTATTTTGGCGTTAATGAGGAGGACGTGGACTTGGAATGCCCGACGCCGCTGAGTCCGCCGCCAAAATGTCGGAAGTCGACTAGCTCTTGATGGGTCGAAGGAGGTCTGTGTAGACTTTGTAAAACATACTGTACAGCATTTGGGTGGTATGATTTTCGATTCTTTCATGGCGATTTTGGAGTTTTGCATTCACGTGGCGGGACCCAAGGGGATAAATTAATGATGAAGAACATTTTGGATCTACATGCATTTAAAACCCGCTCAGTATCAATCTATTCGCAGACCAGCATCCTTCAATAGAGGTAAAATCTTCTCGCCAAAGTACTCCAGATCTGGTGCAAAATCATAAAAGTTGATCTGGACACCATCAATGCCAACCTTGTGTAGCGCATCCAGCTGCTCAACGACTTGCTCCGGCGACCCAATAATCTCAATATTCCCTCCCAGATTCAACCCCTTATTATCCTTGGCATCCTTCCTACCCCGCCAAGCATGAGCATCACTATCATACGCCCCGTTCGCCGTTCCAAACTTCTTGGTGCCCGCCTGGATCTTGGCTCCCTCGGCGATGCTCTCCGCGTACGCCCATGCCTCCTCAGGCGTGTCTTTCGATACAATGATCGGGTTGATGATGATCTTGACTCCGCTGCGGCCCTGGGCTTCTACAGCAGCCCTGATGTTGGCAATATGGGCCGGCAGGGTCTCGAGCGCGCTGTCAATGTGCGCCATCCCCGGCGAGGTGATGAAGATTAGGTCAGAGTACCGGGCGGCGAATTCGATGCCTGCGGGCGAACCCGTCGCGTTGACGAGGATCGGGCGGCCAAACTGTGGCTTCGGCGTGATCCACGCATTCTCGACGCGCCACGGCGAGACTTTGCCCTCGTACGAGATGTTCTCCGTCTCATTCCAGAGACTATTCACCACGTCAAACAGCTCGCCAGCCATCCGGTACCGCTGATCATGCTCAATGCGCTGCCGGCCAAACATCTCGTGCTCCACGGCCCGATGACCCGTAACTACATTGATGCCCCAACGGCCCTTGGCGATGTGATCCAGCGTAGCGCCGTACTTGGCAATATGTAAGGGATGAAGCGGCCCGTAGAGGACATGCATGGTGGAGATGAGCAGAATAGATTCCGTCACGGCCGCCATGGCACCCAGGGCGACGAAGGCGTCGAGCGAAGCCTCACCGTCGTAGCCGCCTTTGGGGAGCCATTGGGTGCGGCTGAAGGCGAGTTCGAAGCCGAGCTGTTCGGCGCGGCGGACGAGGGCGACGTTGTAGTCGAAGGTCCAGGTGTTTGTTGTTGGGTGGGTGGAGAAGTTGATGTCTTGGAGGTTGAGGAAGAGGCCTAGTAGAAGAGGTTGGCGGGAGGCTTTGCGGAGGGGGCTGTCTTGAAAGTCGAGGGGGCCTTTGAGTTCTGGACCGCCTTCGCGGACTGAGGTTGCAGACATGGTGTAACTGCAGGCTTCAAATTGGGTGATGATATGTAGTGAAGCAGAAACGTCTTGTTCTCATGTTGAGGTTACGTGATGAGAATGAGAGTTGAGGTGTCTTGATATACGTTTTGTTTCCTCATTGGCATTTGGCAACAAGCGAGTTGGTTATGTAAGTTGGAGATGACGCGCAAGTGAGGAGCAATGTCGAGATCGCATCCTACGCCGGTTCATGTGCATGATAATTGCCGACCATCTCCGCCATCGGCCAACTTTGAGCACGCCATCGAGTGTTATCTCAAACCTCCACTACTTGCAACGGCATATGAGGTGCGTGATTACTACTGTCTACATGTACTAGCATGTAGCTTTCGATTGATAGGACGTTGGTGCCAAACTTCGGATGATCAACTGACGTTTAGACTTCATTAACAATTCGAGGTTGAGATTCTAGAGCTTCAATCTAGCTGCCTCAGACTTGACAATGATCGGCACTTCATCTTCCAGACTCTTCTCCTGAGGCTTCCATCCGAGAACCTTCTTCGCACGCAAGGCAGAAGCCCGAGAGTTCAAACCCCAACTAGCTGCCTCGAAGCCAGCAGATGACTTGACGGCCTCGTCATAAGACAACTCCCGTACCTCGGGCTCTTGCTTAATGAAGCCCTGCTCATGTGCTGTTTTCCCAACCAGCGTCGACAAGTCACCCCAAACATGCTCGCCATTCTCCGTGAGGAAGTATCCCTTGGCACCCCAAATCTCCTTATCGTCCTTTCGGGATTGGTCGAGCGCGGCCTCAACTAGCAACTCAAACACCACGCTGAGGTCATGAACGTGAACGTTGTTCCATCGAGCAAGTCCCTTTCCAATACGAGGACTGTAGCCCTCCTTCAGCACAAAAGTAGCCAGTTCGTACACCTGACGGCCTCTTCCCGACACGGGGCCACGCCCTTGGCCATAAATTGTGGGAGGGCAAACAATGGCAGTCTTGACGGAATCGGGGTGCTTGTTGCCGGTCTCGAGGACGATCTCGTCCACATTGCGGTGGAATGCGGCAGCTGGCAAATTGACGAGCTCGTCAACGCCATCGTAATCGTTGAAGACCTTGTCGTCGTGCTCGCCAAACGTCTTCTTCACTTCCGAGTCGAAGTAGGTCAGGATACCGGTTCCGCCTGTGTGCAGCCAGAACCCTGGCCGGGATGGCGAGTGGCCTGATGCGAGTCCCTTTGCAATAGCCTTGGCTGCACCTGCGTGGTCTGAAGAGTCGGCGGTATCTGAGCGAGGTGAGATGTATGTCAGTGAGTCGTGTTTGAGATTTAGACAACCTACGAAGTACGACATCAGCCCATGCTGCCTCGCGCTCCAGGGTTTCCGAATCATCGAGTCCCCCAATGACAACCCTGGCTTTCGGGTACTTCTCGAGCACCTTGTCTGCCTTTTCCTGTGTTCGGATGAGAAGCGCGTATTCGAACTCCGAGTGCTTCTGGTAAAGCTGGTAAAGGGCGTCGCCGCCGATGTAGCCCGTGGCTCCTGTGATGAAGATCTTGGCAGTCATTGTAACGCTTTGTATCGTGTATCGTGAAGATGAAGAAGCTGAATTGAACTTTGGGCTCGCCTTATAAATGGCGAAAAGTGATGTTATCACTGGCGTGATTTACGTGTGACCTACGTAGCTAACTGTCGCTTTCTTCTATGACGTCGGCGTGGATTTCTAATCGTGAGTAAACCGCCCCCGGAAATATGTTTAGCCATCGAGGGGCACGGGAAGTGATTTCCGTCTTGCCTCTTCCCACCGGTTTGCGAGCAATCATTGGCTTCTGTCATGTTAAGAACGACCTCTAATGTTCCTAGATGTATCGCTAGTTGAAATAAGCTTATTTTCCTGATGGCATGAAGATTATCTGCTTTTGCTAGGAGAGCTGTGCGATCGAGTTGAGGCTGCCCACGTAGGCGGGGTATCGCAAAATGCCCCTCACTTCTCATCCTCACACGGTCCCACCTTCGTCAAAATCCGAGATGGCCCCTCTGAGCATACCAGAGGGGGACTACAAAAAGACATTCTGGCCATTTCTATCTCTGGCTGTGTAGATGCAATACTCAAATGCGGCACATCTGCTCGTTCATGAAGAATACATGCATATGTGGCTGTAAACTTTCACAGTCTCCCGATTGGCAGATTCCAGCGCCGCAAAAGTCTTCATATCTGCCACAGCGGCCATAGATACTGCAACAAGTTCCTTGCTTGCCAGCACACTTGCGATTCCCGTTTGCATATCCGCAGGTCCCATCGGTGGTGTACACCTTGTGGCCCCAGCAAATACCCTCCCAGCAAGTGCCAGGAGCACAGTCTATGCTGAAGCACGGTGGACAGGGTCAGCATCTGCGAGTTCCGGTGATAGACAGCCATCAATATCAGGGAAAGATCGGGACTTTATCACTTACTCTCTCTGGCCACATCGCCAAGTCTCAGAGTTGCAGCATTGCCCATTAGTCCCGACACAGGTCACGCCCGGGCGCGACGGACCACAGATGCCATCCCACGCCCTTTTTGGTTCAACAACTAAAGCAGGTAGAAAGATAAGTTTGATAGCAGTCAAAACTCGTGCATTGGGGTCACGTACATCCACGAGTGCAGTATGAGGCGCAAGGAAGTATGTTCCCGCAGTCTCGGTCCAGAGAAGGGTTGAGGAGGAAGAACTTGTCTAGTGTAATCCCGTAACGAGTTGCGAGCTCTTGGCAGGTCTCCGGACCCACGTTCTCATTGGTGTCGCTAGTATAGCGACAGTTGATCTCTCCAGGCTTTGTATCGGCACCTCTGATCCCATGAATGGTTGTGTGAGTTGTGCATGCGCGTGGTCGTGAGATCGTGGCCGCGGGCCGGCCGGGGGTTGTGGAATCTTCCCAAGTCACCGGCTTGCATTTTCCAGTGCTAGCGAGGCCAGATGATAGCGGAGTGATGCAGTCCACCGTCGTGGCAAAGAGAAGGATCGCAAGACTTGCAATCCCGCCGTTTTCGAGAACACTACCAGGCTTAGGATACATTACGACTCCGGTTCGGGGTGAGAGTTGATGCAGGGAAAATGAAAGCAAGCATCCGTGTGCTTGGCGAGCGTTTCAGTGATACTTGTGCGCTTATGCCTGAGGAGATTTTGAGAACGCAAACTCCGCCAAGTGGCCAGATCGCGAGAGCACAAGACTGTTCAAAAGAACTAAAGAAAGTGAGGTAGTCTAGGGAACTTTTGTTGGTCGCCATGCCAACATTAGGCAGCAGCCTCCCGCTAAAAGTAATACGATGGTGGCTGATACGGGAAAGCAGCGAGCATCAATAATAGCTCTGTCGAATGCTAACTCCAGTCTCTATCTCAGTAGTCCATGGGCGATAACAAGCTGAGATTGAATTGGTCTGTGGCGGCTCGCTTTTCGGTCGTGCTTGTCGCCATGTCGTCGATACCCTCGGCGCCTCGCAAGAGCCGCCTCCTAATTGGGAATGAGCCCTTGAGCATGCTTCACGCATCACTTTAGAGGGTGAACAAATGATTTTGTTTCTCGATGACCGTGTAATTATTTGCAGTGGTATTTGTATTCTTCACGAGTCATTTAGGCTGGAAAGCAATGGCGGGGCCGCTCCATATTAGCTGCCGAAACCCGACACCGAAACCGAAGGGGAATCGCTCGCATCATTCAAGATACGCGAATTCGAAATCCTGGTCAACTCAACCCCATCGATTTTTGCCAGAACGGAGAGAATTGAATCTCTTGCCGGACGAGGATGGTTGAGTCAGAACTGCTACATGAAGTAAAAATCGACGTGAAATCGTTGCTTAATGCGGTGTAGATAGCTCGTAGTCAGAGGAGCAGCTGGAACCTGCCGTGATGGGCTTCAGTTAAGCCAGACATCCATACATGTCATGCCGAGATCACCTGGAACGTATTAGACAATCGAAACACCTGGCGAAAAAAAATACTAAGTAGTAATTTGCGCACCCGAATTTGGTAGGCAAATCGAAACCAACGCAGCACTTGTCCAAAAATGAGAATAACTCGCCGGAACGGCACCTCAGTTCACCATGACAAGGGGCAATGGAACACCTGCTAGGGTCAATGGCTGGCGGACACTGACGCCAAGTAAAAACACTATAAATATACGCTGGTAGATTTCGGTCTCTTCCGGTGCAGTACAACTGCCACGGGGATCCAACATTGGTTACATCAGAAATCAACAATTGGCGGAGTTGACTTGTGTGCTAATGAAAATCATCTTTAGCTCGGCTGGAGTGTAAAACGAACCACTCCGTCGAATGAAATGACACTTGTCGCGGTGAAAGCTTGATTATAGTACACTATATCCGGTGAATCCGGGAATATCTCCAACCCAGCACTGATGGATTGGCATGGCTATCAGCGGTGGCCTGGCTAGATTCTTTCCATAAGACATGACTAGTACCCCTGTGATGTCAAAGGTCTTCCAAACGTAGTGAAAATTCCTCGCATGCATTCAGCAAGTAGGTAGCATACCACTGTGTTTTATCATGTTCCAGTGTCATCCTTTACTTCTCATCTGCAAAGAAGGACTCAAAATAGGATCGTTCAATCATGGTGACCGATTTCTATCATCAAGCACCATTCTGACATTCAGAAAGTATCCAAGTTGACTCCATGCCCCTGACGGAAGGGTGATCGTCATTGAGCCTCGGTCTTGCCGCTTTACCTAAATGACGACGGGTCTTATCTCGAACTTAGTTCTGCCTTTTCATATCTGTCAATTTTGAGAAATGTCCTATGGAGCGGTGTCACATGGAGTGAGACTGGCGGTTTTCTTCAGTGATTTATTAGACATGACAGGATATAAGTCTTCGTTGTATCTCGTTATATCTCATGGAAGTTATTTTATCAGACTAAGCGCCTCTCAATGTGCCTCAACCACTTGCCTTTGACTTTTGCATCACCAACCTGAATCTTTAGACTCCTGCCTAGGCAACTGGTATCTTTCAATCATGTTGCTCGGTTACTTCTTTTTTACCTTACTATCTATCGTTCTTAATGTCACCAGCGTCTATGCCACTCCCGCCCACAATGGAGACATAGCGAAAGACGTATCCTTACACAAGCGAGAGGCCGAAAAGCTGCAAGCAAGGCTGGTATGCTATCACAAACAATCTTATCACGTAGCTATCGTGATCGACCGCGACGAATATGACGTATCCTATCGCTATCACGCGACCCAAAAGGGCCAAACCCGAACTTTCAAGCTCGACCGCGATCGCCGTGAGTCAGGCAGCTACGTCGATTCTCTGATTCCGAAACTTGTCGCCAATATTCCCATCAACGGGTACGTCGACACCTTCGACGAAGTCGACGAGCTTATCAATGACACGGATCTCCTCCCCTCAAACGGATACGACTGCTGGCAATACCTCAAGAATGCGCTGAATGCAATGCGACAGAGCGGCTGGCTGACGCAGTCCGAGATGGACTCTGCCTATGACGAACTTCTGCAGAAAGCTCAGGATAATGGGATGACTTTGACTTGCCAGGCTCTTTGAATCGGGACGACTATTGGAACTTGTGAATCTCAGTACTTGTGGAAACTTGGGCTACGAGTCACATTCGGATTGTTCGATCGAAGATGTATTACAAGACATCCTACCTGTTGTGACAAGAACTCAACAAAGTGTTACAAGAAGAAAAGGGGTTGGTAGCAGACCGGATCAAGATCCGAAATGTAACACTTTGGGAAGTTCGTGAGATGCAACAAGATCCATCAAGCATTAAGAACCTTTACCAATAACTGTGAAACGTGGCATGTGAGTACTGAGAAGCTACGTCTTTGCCTGACTACCTATACCTGAGTACATGTACCTGTCATTTTCTCAAGTAAAACAAAATGAGAAACCGAATTCTCCCAGAACAAGTTGTGTATTATAAGTATTCAATCGTCTGTTCTATGTTGTATTCCATGTGATAGTGAATGCCATCAGTCAAAATCTGATACAAGAGTGATATTAGTAGGGGAAATATTACCAGTAGACGTGAGGCAGCGTGAAACGATTGGATAATTGAGTCCCCACGAGGATATTTTATGGTCGCTTTTGAGAGTAAGGTAGATAGGAAGGGAGATTCTCTGCAACGATACAGATGGAGCATGTAAATTTAGACGTTCGAATACAACGTGAACGCATTATTCATGTCATGAGAGAAGCTGTGGAGAAGTCAACATTGCATGGTTGTTACAGTAAGTAGGCAATGCTGTGCTGACTTGTACTTGAGTCTGTTATGATTGACTGAGAGAGACTACTTCACCAAATACTTAAGTACTCAGGAAGAGCTTGTCAGAGGAACTTTGACTTTATAGCGTGGCTGGATTAGACTGTTCTAGCTTATCTTATCTCTCCCCGGACTATCAAGTACAACAGCGTATGTAGGCTAATGGTGTTCGCTGTCATGAAAGCTTGATCCGACTAACTTATCAAGTCTATGACTTTCCGTTGAGCTGATGCGGCATAGACATAAGCGCAGGCTCTAAAGGGCTTAGCAGACAGCTGAACAGTGGCTGCCTAATTCAAGAGAGTCAAATGCCATGATGACAGTCACAGCCACCCCGACAAATCCTTCGGGCAGTTTCTTGTGTCATAAGCTTACGTTTTGATTCTCCATAAGAGTTCAGCGAGACGCCCACTGTGGAAGACCAGCCCAACATCTCAACATCCCAATTATCATGAAAATTCAAACAATTTGACGTATGCTTTTTTGCTCCCCTTCACTTCGAAAGTCGAGACATCCCTTTATCGAGAGCCCCGTCTCATGGTCTATCGATCTGGCCAATCAAAGACTCTGGGCATCGCTCTTCATTGTTGGCTGGCCTGAGCTATGCTAATATTGGTTGGCTCGCATTGGACCCCTGTCGCCCCGCAGACGCACCATGAAGGAACATCCGAATTATTATCTCCAGACGCCAGAATTCCTTCTTCTCCGCACACACGCCTGCCGTCGCCGATGTGTTTGTCGACATTCCACGGCTAGGTTAAGCTTCCCACACCCGCTCCGGGGTCATGAGAACCGCAGGTGGCTTGCCCCGTTATCGCTTCGACGGAGAGGCTGGCCAAGTGGGGTCGTGGCCTTAGGTACGCAGACGGCCTGAAGCAGAAACACGATGGCTCGAAAGGGTAGTCGGAAGACTAGAACTGGCTGCATAACATGCAAGTGAGTGTGCCTGAGAGTGTCCATTTCATCGATCGGTACACAGTGAGAATTGAGAACTTGCCTTAGATGGTACCTCGTATCTAACTCTTCATGACCAAGCAGGATACGCAAAGTGAAGTGTGACGAGACCAAGCCAACCTGCAATCGCTGCGCAGCCACTGGCCGCCAGTGTGATGGCTACAGTCCGGCGCCCTCGCCAACAAACAAATCCCAACTCCGCCGCTACCGACCGCACCATGTCTTTCCGGGAGCAGACGGGGTCGGGGAGGGCAGAGCCTTGCAGTTTTTCTGCGAGGTAGCCGGTCCTTACATGTCGGGTGCCGTGGACCCTCATTTTTGGCCTAAACTGGTAATGCAGTTCACCAGCTTCGAGCCTGCCGCGCGCCATTCTGTCATTGCCATCAGTACCCTCTGTGAACGTCTACAATTCCAGGAGGACATGGATGAAGAGATCCTCTTGAAGGACGATCTTTACGCCTTGCAACATTATAACACAGCTATCCATGACCTCAGGACTATGACCTCCCCTGAGCGAAGTCCTGTCATACTGCTGGTGTGTCTGCTGTTTATCACTATTGAATTCCTACAAGTCAACCGTGAAGAGACGGTAAAGCACTTGAAACACGGATTCCAGCTTCTGAAAAGCACAATCAGGGACTATGCCTGGACTAAGGAACACTTACTGCCTCTGTTTCGACGATTGAGCATCTACGCTTTCCTGCACACGACCGATCCTAGAGACTTTCCCAATCTGGAAGGTCTCGAGCATCCGATTCCCAGCAGCTTTTCAACATTTTATGACGCCCAAAGAATGGTTGACGACATCTTCAGCCGCACCATGCGGTTGGTGCGGCATGGCGACCCTTATAGAATATACCCGGAAGAACACCATATTGTGCCGCCTAACCTACTCGATGAGCAAGCCAGTCTTGCGTCATCACTAGATCAGTGGAAGATACTATTTGATGCATTTGAAGCCCGGCCCGCATCACCACCGAGCGAGCCTGTTCCCGGGCAAGAGACTCTAACAACGGCGTTACGATACGTCATTGTGTCACGATATGAGTGTTGCAGAATATGGCTGAACACGGCGTTTGGTGACAAAGAATACGACTACGACAGTCACTTGGCTGTATTCAAAGCGATGTCCACAGAAGCAGGGATAGTAGATCCGGAGATCCTTGCGACTTTTGAAGGGTCTCCTTATTTCACATTCGACACCGGCTACCTTCCTTCAATCTCACTAATTGCAACGAGATGTGCGCATTTGGAGGCGACATTGAAAAACCTTAGACTGAAGCCACTTCCAGGCCTCCCGAGAGAGAATATGTGCCTGCTAGCCCAGGCCGGAGATTGTCTGTGCGAAGCGTTACCAGCATCTTTACGGAACCTTAGTCGACTGGAGATTGCGGAGTCCAGTAATACTTGACTCTACTTAGAGAGTTCTACACATATATGAAAATGACCGTCTAGTAAAGCATCACGCTGTCCGCAATGTGCCTTTTTCCGGTTACTGCACTGGTGGATGTCCATCCAGGACCCACGAGTTGATTAGTGAGGCAGACTCGGCCGGCAGGTCGAATGGTGCTAAGTGACCAGAGTTGAATATCTCGGCATAGGTGAGCTCTTTGTAAGACTTCCACCTGCCAGCTACCTTAGCGTCATGGTACCAAAGAGTCATCTCTTGGAAGCGGAAGAAGGGGTGTCCATGCCATGCCAGTCCCTCGTTGACGAGCCGCCGCATTCCAGCTGCATTGCAGTATAAATCTTTGTCGCCCACGTATATGAGAACGCGAATCCCCTGTAAGAGTTGTCAGTAAGTTTCGATACAGGCCTTGTTCTGTCCTTGGGCTATTTACCTCATCAAGAAGCCTGTTGACGTACTCATCGCTGGACTTCCACAAGTCACCCACGCTCTCCCACTGCTTGAGTATTTCGTACGAGATTCCCTCAAATGAAGCATCTTCGTTAACTCCGAGGGCAACCTTTACCTTTGTCTGGTTTAAAAAGGCGTCAATGTGGCCTAGCTCGGCGTAGCATTCTCCCGAAGGACCATCACCACAACTTCGTCTCCAGTCATATGGGTTGCGCCTCAATTTGTCGACAACGTAGCCGCTCATGGAGGAACATTTCTCGTGTGTTTCGATACAAGCTCGGGATGTCCATCCTTCATCATCGCCTGTGCCTTCGCAGACCCCTAGATTCTGCTCGCACCACAGGTTGAGTGGGGCCCATTCGATGCACTGTGAGGTGCTTAGCAGACTATCAGGCCCGGAACAAAGCGCTTCGAAAGTCCCTGGATTCTGAACACGAAGTCGAATTAATCCGTTGCCAATGAGAATGCCCTTCAGGTTGATGAGCGGGACTCGCGAAGGTAGGTGGACCGGTGAATGATCTCCTGCCCAATGATGTTCGTTGTTTTGAACCGAGAACTCTGAAGCAGCAGAATGGAGGTCAGCATTGCGGGAGTTTATGTCGTGGGAATTTGCCTGATTGTCAAGTATTGTGGAAGCCAGAGCCGGCACCCACGATCCACCATAAGACTCTCCAGCGATATAGAAATCAAGGCTTGAGTATTGAGGGAAGGCGACCATGAGTTGACGAAGGAATCGATCCATCGTTTGAGATGCTTCTTGCAGACCATTGGGTATCTTGGATCCCGTCGAATAGCCGACACTTACTGGCTGACTAGAGTTGAACCATGCAAGTATCAGTCGAGCATCTTTGAGTGAAAAAAACATGATTCCCAAGATCAAGATGGTATCCAAACGACAATACTCAACTCACTCGACAAAGATCAAGGTTGCATTCGTGTTCCAACCGTGCGGGTTATCGATGGTGTACCCGCCCTCAGGCGCGATGCGACAGGGTCCCAACTCCATCAGGTTGCCATAGCCAGTAGAAGACGCTCCTGGGCCACTGGAAATATTCGAAAACAAAGTTAGCAGGGAGATTGGTTTTGGCTCGAGACGGCTAGAAACACTGACCCAGACATCCATAATATCACGGGGTCATTAAAAGGACGATGCTTGCTTTCAAAAAGCCAGAAGAACAGATGACTCTCATCATCGCCATCGGTTGTATCGACAAAGCCGGCGACGCCGGGAGTTGAGCTGTTGCATACACTAGCCGTGTCGGACCCGAGCCTGAGGGAGAATCCTGGGATGTCGGCCGTGGCGGGGAAATGTTTTACGGGAGAGCCGGGCGATTGAGAGTGGGTTGGTGAAGCAAGGCTTTGGCTGACGAATGCCAGTAGCAATAATAGATGTTGGAGGCATGATACTGAGAATCTCAATCGGTGAGGCATTTTGACAGTATCGATGTTTGAGACACTCAGATGCCATGAAGAAGTTGGATGAATCGCTCGATACCTTTCGACTGGTTTTCTGATGCAGCGCTTTTGATGACCCGAATAGGCATAGTGCGGGATTCCCGATCGAGTTGTCGGATCCCTAGCGATAAACACCTACTATCGGTGGACCGTGGCAGAGATGCTTCGAAAGAGCTTCTTAAGGCTAGACCTCTCCAATGCTGTAGCTGTTGTAGTGGATTGTGCGCAAAGATGTAGAGGAGTTTATCGAGAGGTCACGTATGTAAACTTCAAGGCCTCCTATTAGAGCAATGAGATCCGCTGGTCAACCAATTTCAACAGCTTCAAGAGTCACCACGGCTTTCACTGTCAAGGAAGGAGGAGAGAAAAGTCGTATTAGGTCCTACAGAGATGTTTCGTAACGATCGTGTTCATCATCATTTACAAATTTCAAGCAGTGGCACCAGCAGCCTCGCCATCAACAATCAAGCTTGAGGCCTCCTCGGCATCACTCGGCTTGACGAGCTTAATGGAGATCTCGGGGTCCCGGGCATAGACACGTAGGCCCAAGACACAGACAGCGTTCCATGGAGATCCAGTCAGCTCCTCTTCGTCATCCAAGACAGTGGATTCAGCATCAGAGTCTGAATCAGAAACCTCTTCCTCCTCAGCAGGCGCTTCCTCAACAGGCGTCTCATCAGGGACGTCTTCGGCTTTAGATTCAGCGGGGGGAGTCTCCTCGGCTGGCTTTGACTCCTCAGACTTCTTCTCGCTCTCATCGCTTTCGGGTTTCTTCTCTTCAGTTTTGTTCTCCTTAGGCTCCTTCTCATCATCCTTCTTTGGCTCTGGGGTCGGGCCATCGCCAGGCTTTGACGTATTTACGTTCACCGGCTTCTCTGCCTCAGTGGGCTGAGCTGACTCCTTAACCGCGATTTTGATTGCAATCGAATCGCCCTCCTTCTTTTGATCCTTGTCTTCGGACTTCTTCCCTTCCTTCCCGACAGCGTCCTTGGTATCTTTCTTTTCCTCAGTCTTCTTGCCCTCATTCGCGAGGTCAGACACAACCTTGGCGGAATCCTCAAGCGCCTTCGCCGCTATACCGAGCGCCTTTTTCTGCTTTCTTCTTTTCTTTGCTTTCTTGCTCTCCTTTTTCTGCTTCGCTTCAAGCTTCTTCTTCTCTACGAGCTCGTCCTCGTTCCGAACACCGCCCTTGGCATGAGCGATATCGTACTGCAAGCCTACCTGTCGCAATTTCTGCGGGTTGCGTTCGGCATACTCCTTGACTACTTCCTCAACAGGCTTGATTGTGCTAACGTCGCCTTCGCTGTTGCGAACGGCTGTAATCTTAGGCAGAACCTCGTAGATGCCTGGCTCTAGGTCGACCTCGCAGCTCACCGAGCGATTCTCCCATTTGTGCACAGGTCGGACGCGGCAAATCTGCTCTGGCTCAAGGGCATCCGCCTTTTTCTTTTCTCCATCTTTGGACTCATCGCTGGCCGCAGAGGTTGTAGAAGCAGCTTGCTGAAGGACGAAGTGTAGTTCGAACCAGTACTGTCCCTCAAATCCGTGGAAGTAGCGGTCGTCGAGCTGCGTCAGGACAAATACGACCATGCCCGACTTCTTGACCTCCACAACGAACTTGGTCTGGAGGAAACCTGTCACCCAAGATACATTGGCGGAGGTCCACTGTTGCACGACGGTCCACTTGTCGTCAAACAGGCGCGTGCGGTGGATGTACATAAAGGTCGAGAGCAGATCCTGGTACGACATCCAGAAGACGCCATCATCGCCAAAGGTGTGATTCATGCGCTTAAGCCAGTACGGGGTCCATTCTTTGGAGCCGTCGGACCACGGCCCGTTCCATTCGCCGACACCACCATCGGATCGTTCGCCCCAAGGGTTCCTGTTGGTTCAAGTGTCAGAGCAAGGCAAGATACTGAGACTCTAGGAGCAAATCTTACCGGATCTGAACGAGGCGAACCTTCTTGCCGTCCTCGTCAACCTCCTCTCGTGACTGAAGGATAGAGTATGCGTGCCCCAACGCCAGGCCGCTCTTCTGCCAGTCCCACCCAGTCCCCATGGCAGCAAGGGCGAAGACAAACTCTCCGTCAGAATTTACAAGCTCTTTCCACAACTTGTCCTTTCTTAACACGCGGTTAGTTGCGATTGTTGAGGTTACGCCACCTGTCATGTCCTCAACTCCCTCGCCGGGCCAGCCACCCGAGATGGCCTCATAGTCACCATGAACCTTGGCGTATGCCTTTTCGAGAAGCGGCAACCACGTCTCATTCTGATCATCGCAGCGAGCAAAGTAGAGAGCATCAGAGCCCGTCTGGTGCCTCTTCCTATGTAGGCGGGCCTTCTTGCCACTAGCATCGTAGACGTCTCCATAGTAGTCAAAGTCTGACTCGTTGAGGTAGAGATTGTCGTCAATGACTGTCGAAATCCACTCGCCATCCCGCTGAAAGACAAAACCGTAGACGCCACACTCTTCGTCGCGAGCAACGCAGACTTTCTCCATGAGGTCTTTCCGGTGCGCAATGGTGGCAACTGCGGCGAGCCACCAGCAGTCACCGTTGGAACCTTGCTTGATATCGGAAGACGAGTAGCCGTTCATCGTGAATTGCGGCGAATCAAAGATCCAGTCAACGCGGTGGATTGAACCAGGGTTGTAGTACTCGCTTCCTCGGACGCCATGACGCTTCGAGACTTTGCCAGATCCCGACTTGGCTCCCTTACCGGCAGCTGCATTGGCAAAGGGATTCCAGATGTCACTGTCGCCCCCAAGAAAACGGCTCACCGCCGTGGGATCGATGGGGATAGTAGAGCTAGGACCCAAGATCTGCGCGGCGTTAAGTGTGTCGAGGCTGTTCTTCACATCCCAGCTGCTCACATACGGCACATCTCCCGCGGCGCCACTTCCGCCAGTACCCTGGTCCCCGTCACGGATAAGACCGTTAAGACAGTTCTTCTTAGGATCACGCTCAATGTCAAAGTCGGGGTCGGTGAACTTCTCATTCGTTCTTTCGCACTCTCGGATGATTCGCTTGACCTTCTCTCGGCACTCGCGAGCGGCCGCGTCATATGACTCCTGCGCATTGCGGGTGGAAGATGCTCCCTTCTCCTGGAACGCAGGGAGGAGGGATGTGTAGAGGGCGCGAGGGAAGATGGATGTCACCTTCCCCGGGTATTTTGAGTGAAATTTGTCCCAGAAGTCAGACAAGGTTTCCTGGGGACTCTTCTTCGAGCGCTTCGTTGCTGGAGGAATGGGAGGCACTGGTGGTGGTGGATCGCCGTACGTCGCCATATTGAGCAGCGTCGCTGACTTGGGGTGTCAGAGCAGGTTAAATGACTAAATTGGTGCCTTACTTGTGTCGGGTCCCCTGGAGACAGGAAGCGAATGACTGACTTGAACAATAAAATGGAGTTCATTTCGGCCATACTGCTGGACTTAAGTAGTCGTCGCAGTCTGACGAAGATATCATTCACGCCTTGAAGGGTGGTGTGACAAGGCCTTGGTAAGGCTACGACCTACCTACTTGACCCGGCATCTAGTGCTGACGCACCAGCGATAGTTCCCGTGTACAACCGCGCATATGGGTGTTTGGGTGTGAGGCTGCCTAGAATCACGTTACTTGGATGTGACAATATTGAAATGCGAAACGAAACTGAACCAATTGTATGGGATCGTTGGTATGAAGGCGCCCTGGGTATCGGAACGGTCGGCTTGCTTGGCCGCATTCTGCAGAATATCGAACCGAACTTGCTCTGATATGCAGCGAATCGCCAGGGTTGAATCTGGCAATTCGTACTACAAGTACCAACAGCACGCAGATTGGGGGCCATTCTGCCGCCGGGCTTCAGGGCCTAGTATCAGGTAGGATCATGGCGCCAATGACTTTAGCGCCGCGAGGTTGGGCTATGACAGCGAAGCATACGGCTGATCCCCAGGGTCCCTTTCTCGGCCACGCACGCCAGATAACATGAGGAAAGGCTTGCTGTCTCATTCTAGCGAGGTAACTGTGAAAACCATAACCCCGCGCGATGAACTGGCAACTCTCACGTAAGACTTGGAACGCCATGCATGCATGAGATGCAGGCCGCTGTTAGTGCGTGTCGCTTCCCCAAGCCTTTACGACCAACTCATTTTGGACTGGAGTAACCCAAACAGGGGTTCTGGGCAGACGGGAAGATGAAGCTGAAATTTGGACTGCAGTCACAGGAATGATAGGCTCACTGCTGATAATTCTCATAGGGTGTCATACTTGGCCAGACCTAAAGAAGTATTCAAGGTGATCGAGATGTCACGTTGAATGATTGATCACATATATGCACACATCACAGGAGAGGAAACTGAGTACATTAGACAGAAGCATCATCGAGTCCCAAATCAACTTAAGACCTGAGACCGATAATTGGTGCATTGGCTGCTATACACGACAGGAAATCCGTTCTTCATCCATGGCGACACCGATGAAGAGCAACTCTGATGCTTATTCTTCAAGAATGTCCTTCTCCAAATCATTCATAAATTAGTAGTGATTGACCGCCCCTCTATCTTTTTGCAATGTCAGTGTCTTCGTCTAATTTGATGCATATCCAGGCTACTCATGGCGTGGAATAGATGTACACAGCCATGGTGACCAATATCTCGAATGACGCTCGAAGGGCCTGCCTTTGCCATCGGTCGTAAAGCTCATTGTATATCATACCTCAAAACTCGTACAAGCTTTAAGTCTCGTCCGGCACAGATTATATTGAATACTGGGCTCTGAAAGGCTAGGCAGGTATTTGATAATTGTCTTTCATTAGAAGTTAAATATGTTGGCATCCGTAAAGCTCTTTTGGAAGCTTTGGTATATGCTCATGCTCTTGCTACGAGGTCTATGGCCAACTCATTTCCTTCGTCATGCCGCTCGATTAGGTGGATATGGTCAGGCTCAATGCTGAGTTAGCAAGAGCTACTTGCGGTACAAAGCAAGCACCTTCTGCCACAGGGTTGTGGCCTCCGGTTGAGCAATCGCTGTCTCTCCAGCTCCTCTATGATTCGGTATGTCGACAACCTCGCCATCCAGACCCTTGTTGTTGGCGGCGTTCTGCTGCTTGCCCAGATAGTAGTTTGGCATAAAGAAAGAAGCAATAAGAGAAATACAGGACAAGCAGATGGCGGCGATCGTGATATGCCCATTTACAATAGCGTAGGCGCGGATAGATCCTTGGCGAATGGGATCATCGAACCGGTACTTCTTCAACGTCTTGATATTGCCGTAAATCTTGGCGATGACACTGTTGGAAACGCCGGGAAGTTCTTCACGCATCTGGTCAACCATCTGCTCCGTCCAGATGCTCGTTGCAACGGCGCTTCCGATACTGGATCCCAAGGTAGACCACAGAGTGATGATGGAAATGATCGAAGCAACGTCGTCGTGGGGAACAGACGCCTGTACACCGACACGCGCACCAACTACGTTGAGGGAAGATAGACAGAAGATGAGCTGCGCTGCTACGAGCCGAGCAGTATCTTGAGTCATGTTGCCGGTCGGTTGGACCAGGAGGCCGTAACCGAGAATCTTGGCCGCGGCACCGAAGACCATAAGGCTCTTGTAGCGATGAGTGCTTCGGTGAATGAGACCAACCACAGGGCCGACCAGGCAGAGCCCCATTGTAGTTATGCCCAAGAAGATAGTCCACTGGTAAGTAGTCCACTCTTTGATGATGAGGATGTATGATGAGAAGTAGGTATTGCGAACGGACGATGCCATTTGATTGAAGGTGTGGATGATGACACCTGCGATGAAGGCGCGGTTCTGTAAAATGTTCCTCGTCATGAGAGGCTTAGGAGCGAGAAATATCTCGAACAGGACGAAGATTATGAGAATGACGAAACCCATGACGATCATAGCGATCATGCTTGCGTTGGTCCATCCACCATCGGCGCTCTTAGCCAGTGTGATAGGCAAGAGAATCAGGGAGAAGGCAAAGCCAAGCAGGATGAGGCCAATGATGTCGATATCGATCATGCCCCGGTACGCAAGTTTGGCCCAGTACACCAAGTTCTTAGAGGAGGCCTCAGAGACACCGGTGCGAACGTTCTTGGAGTCGGCAATGGTTACCATGCCAGCCTTCTCTCCTCGACGCTGCATGGCGTAGAGAGTAAAGATGGCCGGGATGAGGAGAACAGGGACGAGTATGGCGAACATGCCTAAGCCCCATCGCCAATTCTCGTAGAAGCCTTCAGCGATGAAACCGTTGACGGGGACAGTGACGATAAAAGGCAGGGACAGGCAAGCACCGAAGAAGCCGCGCCATTCCAGGGGTGTTAAATCGGCCACAATGATGTCGCTCAGAAGATCGAGACCTGACTTGCCGACTGAAGTAAAGCAGATACCGACGGTATAGGCGGGGAAGGCGGTGGCACTGGCTGCAACGGCAAAGCCTACGGCGTAAAACGCTAGAATCACGACGTACGTCGTGGGTCGCGAGGTGATGTCGGCTAGTTTTCCAATGAAAGGCTTGCTGATGGCGCGGATTATCTGACTGGCAGTGTTGACGGTACCAAGTTGGCTGTGGACCTTGAACGTTGAAGCAGCCAGCGTGCCAAAGATGGTTGTGGTGATACCCATATCGAGGGCATAGGCAAACATGGTCAGGCCGATGGATACGCCGAGCAGCCAGAGTAGCACCTTGCCCTTCTGACCAGAATGGTAGAGTACCCTGTTGAAGGCTTCAACTCTGCTGACGCCAACTTCCTTTGATCCTTCATTATTAGCAGACTGGTCAGGCTTCTCATCCGGCTCGAAGAAGTCCTGAGGTGCATCGTTCTGGGCGGGAGCCTTTTCGGGAGCCACTGGCTGGCTGTCGGCCGCAGGTGTCGACATATTTGACGACTTCTCAAGCTGTCTGGGTTTTCGAGAGGTTTCAAGATGAAGTTGATGTTGCACAGACACAGACAGAGAGCGACATGAAGAAGGGTAGAAGAAGTTTATTAAAGCCTCATGGAGAGATAGACAGCGAAAACTCTACGGTCTTGGCAGCGGTCCAGTGCCACCTCAGAATCCTTCCACTGGGATCTAGCGAAATGCTAGGGAATGATCACCCCACATTACAAACATAGGCAACCAGAAGTGACCAACGATATGGTTCTGGTGCATGACATAAAGATCAGTTTCCAAGTCTCTTTCGGTACGTTCCGACAGCGGTTCGCCCAGTGTTCCGGACATGCGGGTGAGACAGCTAAGTTCAATGTTGAATGGCACGCGGCACGGGGTCAGAAAAATTGGCCGCTCTACTGAACATCGAGCCTGAGAAAAGTGGCCAATTCTTCTGGCAACCGCGTGAATGGATGTCTCGTTGTGTTTATCAGATCCTTTCTGGATCCACTATTGGGGAAACATGCCATCTAATCAGATGGCCCATATCTCTCGATTGGGGAGGGATCACCACCTTGGTGGGACTAGACTCCGACTAAAGCCAGGATAGATTCCTTCATGCGCAAAGTATACAGTGTCTTTAGCCTGTACGCAGAGACGCGCCACTGAGGACCTTCATTTAAATAGCTTTGTCATTTGGCTCCGATCCTAGACCAATATTTCGAGAATGAGGAACCATCTCCGGGTTATGTAAGCGGGACGGTTCGTCAAAGTGAAAGAGCAAAGATTTTCTTCGACACATCAGCCCACGGATCATGTAGCCACCTAGATAGTGCTTACTTTTTAGCCTGAAATAAGCTTACTCGAGTGGCTATTGCTACTCGTTCGAGTCGAAAGATGGGTACAGGATCCCTGTTCCTGGCAATAATCCCGCAGATTCGGCCTCGGACTTTGCCCGGAAGGGCTTGGCTCCTGGTTCATCGCCAACTTGTCGGTTTATATGGTCACTTTCATCGGACGACCTATCGCGAGAACTGTTCATCATGCTATTCTCTTGATCAAGTCTTTCGAAAATCCATCAGAAGAAAATTGCTCAACGAGGACTCTATAGGCAAATCGGCTTCGAAGTCTTGGATCCATTACCGCTATCACTACAATGCCATGTTGTCTCAAAGTTCGGTCTTCAAATAATGGATTCAGACCTCCTATACGATTGGCAACTGAGGCCACTGCATCAAAGCTGCGAATCATAATCCAGCAAATTGAGTGAGTCCTGGGAGGAGAAGGAAGCAAATGTATAAAATAGAGAACACTCATGTCTAGTTATGTTGGAATCAAATATCTTCATAGACTTCTAACCGCCCTTAGCCTATTTTGTCTCGCCAATTGCGTGAGCTCTATCGTAGGGGCGTAGAGATCGAAGATGTGAGGCAGTCCAGGGTATACATGTAATTCCATTTGCACATTAGCGGATGCAAGCTTATTTGCAAATGCTACTGCCTCAGCGCAGAACAAATCAACTCCACCAACGTCGATGTATGTAAAAGGGAGATTCGCAACGTCAGTTGCTCTCCCTGGTGCCGCATGCGGAGGTATGCCCGATCCTCCGGCCTTGCCCTCAAGGTACGCATTCCAGCCAATCTGATTTGACTTATCCGTCCAGGTGAGAAATTGCGATAAAGGATTGTCTGCTTCAACCCTAGTTCTGTCGTCTAACATTGGATATATGAGGATCTGCTTCGCCAATGGCGGTGACAAGCCTCGATCCCTCGCCAACATGGATGCGCCTACCGCTATGCCGCCGCCGGCGCTCAACGCGTAAAAGCCTATGCGAGACGCGTCGATATTCAGGTCGTTTGCATTCTCGCTGAGCCACTTTAAAGCGGCGTAACAATCCTCGGCGGGTGTTGGAAACGGGAACTCGGGCGCTAAGCGGTATTCAACAGCGAACATCTGGACCCCCGATTCGAGAGCAGCCTTCGCGGCGAGTGGCCGGCTGTGCGGGTCGAGGTCCCCCCCCACGATCCCTCCTCCATGAACGTAGATGAAAGCCGGCTGCCTGCCTATGCTTTTGTTTTCGCTCGGTGTGAACTGGTGGAGTGTAATTATCTCGCCGTCGAATGACTTGACAACATGCTTGGTTTCTATTATACCATCCGGCAGGGCATCTTTGAGGATAGCCGAGAGACCCGCGTTGACGCTGGCTCGGAGCTCCAATGCATTGGTAGGTCCTTTCGGCGGTCGGATGGCGATCAGCGGACCAGCGACCGCCCAGAACTCTGTGTCGAATTTGAGGCCCGTCATCCTCTGCGTCTGTTTTGCGTAGTAGAAAATGGACAGAACCCCGACAACCATCCCCAGAAGCGAGAAACCTGGGCCCATGGTGACTTTTTATGCAAAAAGCCTCTCCCAAGCTCCTGGTCTGTTAGGGGGGAAAGAGATGTTTCGCCCTGATCTATTTTCCCTGTCGGGGGTACGCGAAAGGCATTATATCCCCATAAATCATGAGTTTAAGCTGCAGCTTTAACGTTTGCGCCACTCGGCACCATGAACCTATTAGTCTGGAAACTTCAGATGACTAGAAGCTCCGCGTTTCAAAGCGTTGATAGTCGGAAGCTTCCAATTCGTCCGAGCGGCATGAACCAGCTCCAGGCCAGCAGTCCGCCGTGGCTCGGGCGTAATTCTCTGAGCGCATGACCGATGAGGATTGCCACGTAGGCAATGCTGGTATTGCTTCCTTTCGTTTTTTTTAGGAGAGGTTCTGCCTTTGGAATTGACTTTCGGCTCGCACCGCAGGGCACATGACGTAGTCTGCATGTCGACTTTTGTCCAGCTATCAAACGTCGGACTTTTCCCAGCTCTCCTCACCCGTCTAGTGTTGCCACGACTGACTTGATGACTGATGGTTGCGATGATGCACCAATCAACATATTGCCATCCTGGAATTGAGACTAAGTACAAGTAGTTTCGTCTGAAATCAGAAACTTTTCCTACAGCCTGCCGAAAGACAGGTTCCATGCAGACCCTAGAAGCAAGAATGCCCTGGTCCAAACCCGAAGTTGTCCAAATTACTGGATTCGAGAAGGTTGTGAGTTTCAGTCAAATACATCAGTCGCATATCGCTCATTGCGAATTTTACTGAACCACTCCTCCAGCTCCTCATCATCCATCGGCTTTCCATCGTCCAACTCGCTCTTCTCCCTGGCCGCCCTAAGCAAAACATCCTTCACTCCTTCGGCGACTCTGTTAGAACCACAGACATAGACTCTAGCACCTTGATCCCACAACCCGTACAACATCTCACGCTCCTGCCAGATGCGATCTTGCACGTACTTGGATCCACTGGAAGCTTCGGGTTTACGACTGTAGGCCCTGAACATCTTCACAGCACCGACGGACTCCCATTTATCGAATTCTTCACGATAGAGATCATCAGCTTCTGGGTCACGGCAGCCAAAGAATAGGATGGCCGGTGCAAGAGAGCGACCGTTGCTAAGTAGGGTAGCACGTTCTTGAACGAAGGCGCGGAATGGTGCCAAGCCGGTTCCGGCTGCCACACACAGGAGAGGCGTCTTATCCATGTCGATCGGAAGTTTGAAGCCACCCTGCGAAGCACGAATGGCAACTTGCAGGCGGTCGCCGGCAGTCAAGGTAGCAAGGTAAGAGGAAGTGACGCCTACATGCCGGCCTTGTCCTGAGAAGGCCGGCTCATCGAGAACACCATAGGTGATGGTGGCTATACCAGGTTCTACAAGAGGTGACGAAGAAATCGAGCTGTTCACTATTGTCAGGACAAAGCCTAAAGACGGGGGTATAGCCTAGTCTTACTATTGACGAACTCTCATTGGAGGGAGCATTAGTAAGAAGTGGTTGAAAGGGATGACCAGAGATGGGAACTGCTCGGCAATATCAAGAACAGAGAGTCTCTTCCCCTTGATCTCGGTGTCATAGCCGTCAGTAGCCAAGTACTGAAGCTTACGACTGGCCTCCTCTTCCTTCGCAAGCTGCGACAGAGTCGAGATATTCTTTGCTCAGCATGTTAGCATTTACGTCCTGTATCAATTAGGCATCAATACCGAGACTCACCCTTTTTGAGGCGGTTTGGCATAGCTCAACGTAGGAGCTCAGCACATCGGAAACGGGGCTGCTGACGTTGGTCGGCAAGGTCGTAGGCCCTGAAGCCTGGATGGTAACATGCGAGTCCCAAGCAAGATGAAAGCGGCGCATCACCCTCGCGACCGTATCCTTGGGGTTGTGGGGGAGCACGGCGATGTAGTCGCCAGCGGAGTATCGCATGTTTGTAGGAAGCTGCACCTCGATGTGTCTCTTGACTGGACCCAGGTATCCTTGGGCGAGGATGCGGGCATCCAGCACGAGCGCGTCTCTGACGTCTTGGCGGAGAGTTGACGTCCTCGGGGTGGAGAATGACACCGACAAGCCTGCCTCGGCGATGCTGTTATCGCCTCCATCGGAATTTCCACCAAACTCTTTGACGAGCGTAGGCCACAAGGCCTCATCTTCCCAGGCCTCAAAGTCAGAGAACATGTCGCGGTCTTTGGCGTCCGTTGTGCTAAGTGGGATGATTCGACGGGCTCCACGCTCCTCGAGCGTGTTGTCAACGAGCTTGGGGACCCGATGATATGTTTTTACCCAATCGGCATGACCTAGAGAAACAACACCGCATCAGTAGAGGTTAACTTGAGAATAGCTGGTCAGATCTTACCGCAGCCATAAACAGCATAAGACACGTTCTCGAGTTCCTTGCCCTTGAGATTGGCCATCCAATCGACGAAGAGTGCAGCATTATGAGGCGGCTCGCCCTCGTAAGAAGAGGTGACGATGACGATGGGACGATCTGTCGGAAGCGACTCTCGCGCGGCGTCAAGTGAATCAACGGTCGCACTGAAGCCATGTGATGCCGCATCGCTAGCAAGTCTCTGAGCCATAAACTCGCAGGTCCCAGAATTCGAACCGTAAAAGATCGCCACATTTGCTTTTGTCACAGAGCTAGTTGTGGTTTCTGCTCCGTTCGTAGCTTCGTGGGCTTTGGTCTTCGGCTGGGCTGGCAATCCTCCAATCAGGGAGCCAGCCATCCGAGCTTCCAGCATCGACGGCGTCAGCCCATCTCTCAGAATAGCCCGAATGTAAAAGTCTTTAGGCTTGATCGTGAGCGTCTGCGAGACTTTCAGGTCGTAGTTGGGGTCGTGCATGACAAAGTTGAAGTTCTGCATCAGCAAAGCGAGGGCGAGCACCATCTCTTGCCAAGCGAACGCTCTTCCAATACACCCACGCATACCGGTACCGAAGGGGCTCCAGCAGTTAGGGAACTCTTTCATCAGCCGGTCGAAGTTTTCGTCGAGCATCCTCTCTGGTCGAAATTCCTCTGCATCGTCTCCAAATACCTTGGGATCAAGATGTGACTTGGTCAAGAAACAGAGGATCTGCTCTCCGGGTTTGACGCGGTACTTGCCACCAATGATCTCATCCTTCATAGCCTCTCTGCCAAAGCCAAAGATGGGAGCACTGTGTCGCAGAACTTCTCTTATGACCTAGCGACTGATGTTAGTGTGGATGAGGTAGAGGGCCATTGGGGACCCGGAAGCGCTGTGCAACCCTGCCTAGGCCCTACACTAAGGGTGGAATCTAGGGGTGCTAGGATGAGTGGGAACTTACTGCACTCAAGTATTTTAGCTTAGCGACGTGTTCGACCTTGAGAGGACCGTCACCAGCTGTGCTGTCGACTTCTTCTTGGACTTTCCGATATACCTCGGGTCTCTTCAGCAACCAGTACATGGTGAAGGTAAATGTAGCAGCCGTGGTCTCGTGGCCGGCGACAAGAAAGGTGATCAAGTTGTCAATAATACTCTCGTCCGTCATCTTACGGCCCGTCACTGGATCAACAGTATTGAGCATCGCAGTCAAAAGGTCCTTCCGACCATTGGCGTCTTCCGGGTCCTTCTTTCTAGCCTCGAGAACCTCTCTCGCAGTGGAACGAAGGAAGCTGATGTTCGCCTTGTACTTGCGGTCTTGCTTCTTGTAGAAGACTTGAGGCAGTACGCGCAATGCCTTATCGCCGGCTTCTTTCATGACAGCGTACATTGCTGTGATAAACGGATGGGTGTCTTCTCGGTAGTAAGAGTTGAACCTGTAGCCCATCGAGCAAAGAGCGACTGTGTCCATGGTGAGTCTCGTCATGTCTTCGCCAATGTGAATGGGAGTAGAAGGTCCGTGGCGAGCCCACTTAAGCGCAAGTTGGGCGGCTAAGTCGTGCATGTCGTCGAACATTCCTCTAATGGCAAGGGGACCAAAAGCAGACATCAGGACTCTGTGGGCGATGCCCCAATTCTCCTCCTCGACGCCTTTGGACTACCGGAGGGTTAGCCCGGTGTAGCGAACAGCCCGTGAGGCTTAGAACCATCATCATACTTACTGTGAATAGGCCATCGTGCACAGCGTCGCGAAGCTCCTATGGCTTGTTGTCAGTCATATCCCAAACACTCGAGCAATTTAACTCACGGTGAGGTCTCCTTCTATCGACTTTTTGAACCTCTTGTCATCGCAGCACTCGTTGACCAACTCGTGGGTGTTCACGAAAACCAGCTTCTGGCCTAGAAGATCAAGTTTGTAGATAGGGCCTTGGGAATGGTCAGCCATGGACATGCTCTCCAATAAGTCTTGCGGCAACCACGTATCCACTTCCGGGGTAATGCTACATACCATATTTGTTCGCCATGTGTACAAAGGACCCTAAGGGATAGTCCTGGTCGATCTCAGTCACATGTCCCAAGACGGGCTTCCGTGGCGGCTCCGGGATTTCAATGATACTGTTCGGCATGTCGACAGCTTTTCTAGAAGACCTCCGAGAAAGACTGAAGACTCGTTTTCTCTTTTCGAATGTGGCAATGGAGTCTGACGACTGAGTATTCGCGATGGACGACATGATGGACTTGGTAACCCGATGACCTCTTGCTGCCTATATATCGTCGTCTTGAAAAGCACAGGTCTTCTAATTTTGTTGATATATAGGTAGGCAACTTGAGGCGATAGCCAAGCATAACGGGACAATTTCGACGGCCGCCGGAGTCGCTCAGACTGGTAATCCCCACCTTCGGTGTCCTCGGGGCAAGGCTGTTTGTGGCTGAAGGAGCAGAATCCACAGAATACCACGCTGAAGAGGCTTTGAATCAGACAAGAACGCCACGTTCACCACGACAGGCGTACGAGATTCGTCATGTCCTTGCCCGCGGAGAGCAGGAGTGGGACTCTGAATCATTTCTCGCCGTGCACTGGCCCCGGCCGGTCCTCCGCGGGCGTCCGATATCCACTTTTTTACCTGCGCTACCCCCTTTGCATGGTCTGCCAGACTTTCGATGTAGCGCCGTAGCAGTCCGTATCCCCAGATCAGAAAAATCATTGATTCCTGGCGTCGGAGTTCCTTCATTTGGATTCTTGGCTGCATCTCTGTACACGTCGGTGAGCGGATTAATATTCTAAGCTCGCTCGGCACCGGGCCGTAGCGGTCGTGATACCCAGGCGAACGTGTGCCGCTGAAGTCAAGCATCAATACCGACTTTCCATATGCCAGGTCTCGATAAAACCAGGTCTGTTCTGAAATACGATATTTAGATAGGAAAAAGACGTAGGGTGGCTGCTTTTGTTCCATCTAACTTTCTGAGTGAAACGCTTTGCGAGAGTACGAGGTTCTCGGGTTTCATCAGATTAGTCGACTTTTCGTAGATTTGGCAGATAGCCCATATGGAAAGAAATGATGACCAAGTTCCACAACCTTGGAAAGAATCAGACCCACGTAATCGACTAGATATGAATAAGTACATAAGCTGGCAGTCAGCTTTAGAGTGTGATAGGGTCAGAGTAAAGGACCATTCCGTCTCCTACTGACTTTGGGAAGAACCACTTGACGTTGCGGAGATTTTGGCAGAATGCGATGAATTGACTGCTTTGACCTCTTGTGAACATGGAGGCCAATAGTCTTGACTTTTCGAATGCCATTGCACAAGAGAATCTCCAATTTGATTTTAAGAAGATGAAGACTCCGCAACCCAGCTAGTTATCCGGTCTTCTAACTGTGTGACTTAGACGGGAGCTTTGGTGACTAAGAGCATAGGTCAGCCATCTTGTCGGGAGACAAACACCACCTAGAAGAATTAAGATACAGCACGGCTCGGGCGGGGGCTTCATTAATGAAGGCAAGGTATCAAGCTAAAGGAGTACCGTATGGGGACGCTGTGCAGCTTTGACTATGCTCGCGTTGGAAGCGAAACATTTGTTTGATCACTGAAGCTGAGATTAATAAGAAGTACATAGGTAGAGTGGTTGGCAATGAGCAGTGACAGTCAACACAAGGGCAACGAACGCAAACCAAACTTCTGTGTTTATTATGTATCTTGGATGAAGATAGCTTGTAATTGATTTTTTGTTCTCTGTAGGTGAGTTTACAAAACCTTCCTTTCCTTTTACTGGGATTATCATGAAACTAAACTTTGTGGTTTTTACCATGGTATGTGAAAAAAGTTTTCCGTCTCACAGATTTCCCACTTGTATAGCTTGTACAGGGCAAATCAGGACCGTGAGATCATTCGTGAGATTGGATTACTTACACTGCTCATGGTAGCAACGTCGGTACGGGGATGGGCCTCTGCTTCACCGGTCTCAGAGGCCTATCATCTTGCTGGTTCTTCCAATCGTTTGGATGAGGCTCGCCGTGTATGTTGAAAAGGGGCTCGACCTTGATAACGGTGGGGTAGGGCATGATTTTCAACAATGTGTGATCGTCAATCTTGGCTAATATGGCGTTTGTGCCAGTCTCGATATCCGGCCGGATCTCGCCAAAGTTTCTCGCCCTGATATACATACAGAGGAGATCTTTAACGTCCACGACGTCCGGCAGGTAGTTATTGGCGGTGACGCGGTAGGTTCGGGGAATGATCTCGTATTCTCCTCCTGGTTCTTCCTCTTTCATGAGCGTAGGGAACGTGAATTTGTGTTTGTGGCGTGGGTGGATTTGTCCGGCGAGGGCCCAGACGTGAAAGGGCCTGTGGGTGACGTCGTAGTGGCCTCTAGAGACGCACCAGACCGTATTCACGCTCTTGATGTCTTTTTCGGTATACCAGGGGAGACCATTTGCGGGGCGCCGTCCTTTTGGAGGGGCAAGTAGTGCTCCCGACGGCGCGGGCTCCTTGGATGTGATGAAAGTTGTCGGGACTGGTGCTGGAATGACTAGGGAAGAGGCCTTGGCGATGTCTTTGGTATTTCGACCAACGCGGGACTGTGAAGCTGAACTGAGTGGCGTAGTCAATGAAGGCTGCGTGGCTGTGGCGTCTGGAGTATCGGCCTCTCGGTTGCTGCCGTCGTGCTGGCATGATACCATGGCTGCAAGCAGCAAGTTCGCGAGCGAAAGCGTTATCCGCATGGTGTAGTGACAATATTCTGTTCGTAGTAGATATGTGACGGAAAATCCGACAAGAAACACATGTAGGATGATGTTTTATTAGGATGGGGTCTAGATTCGAAAGGAACTTATATAATCGCACTGGTAGAATCTGAGTTTTCGGACCATCCATGTAATGGTTCGTGATAGACCGCAGAGGTATCTAAGTAAAATGGGCCACCCTTCTTAGTTTTTTGACATTCCGATCGTATCGTAAAGCTGTGGCCGCACCAACTGTGGTGCCTCGGCTGGGGGTCATGGAGCTAAATCGCGTCATGTCTCCTCAACTTCCAATAGAGATAAGATTCTACCTAACCACTACAACGAGACACACGTATCAGTGAGACCACCTGCCGTTAGCCAAAGAGCTTCAAAGACTAGTCCTCCTACGATGGTCAGTCGTCCATCAAGCATAACGCAGGGCCATAGTCCTTGAATCATGGTCTATTTGCGGAATCGTGGCTCTAATAGCGGACCGCGGCCGCAGAGGTATCGCTTTCAGAGATCTTTTTGACGATAAAGGTCAGGTTGCACCAGACGGGTTACACAAGTATGTTCATAGAATGTCAGGTGATTCCATTAGACCCGTAGGCCATCCATGTCAAGTAATATCACGTACGCTGCCGTAATCCTCCAACCCTACAGAATTCCCCGCTCTTTCAAAAGCCATATCAATATGCTCACTGCTCCAACTCGTTCTCGGCTAGAACCTCTCTTTCCGCCTTGGTCCCTTGCCAGTTCACCATCTTGACAAGAATAGGAATCAAAATCGCAATAATCATACCCGCACCCAAGAACCCAGCCGTAACACCGAAACCGGTGTGATACGCTGGCGAATCCTTGCTCGGCCAGATACGGCTTCCATACACACTCGAGAAGTTACCAAACGCATTCACCATGGCCAACACAATAGCACGCTTCTCAGCCGGCAAGCTAATAACACCACTCGTCCAGGACAAGACGAGCGGCAGCGCAGACCAGATACCCGCCGCCAGGAAGCAAACCATGACGTACCGCACGATAGGCGTCTGCACGGCAGCACACACGACAGCGCATGCGAAGCCCAAGCCCAGCGGCGCAGCGACGTGCCACCGCCGCTCCTGGTGCTTATCGGAGCTCCACGCAACAATGTTGAGGCATACCGAGGCGACGGCGTAGATGGGCACCGTCATGTACTGTGCCTTGACGGTATCGTAGCCAAGGGTAAGCGTGATGGTAGGGATAAAGTACGAGATCGTGCCCGCGCCGACGTCGAGCATGAAGAGCACGATGAACATGTACGTCCGCGGGTCCGACACGGCCGCGACAAAGGCCTTCCAGTGCGACAGGCGCGCCTTGTTCTGCCCGCCTGAGGCGATGCCGTCAGCAATGATACGGATGCTTGCAAGCTGGCGCTGGGCGGGGGTGAGCTGCTTCGCGGTGGCGGGGTAGTCAAGCAGCACGAAGAAGGCGATGAGTGCGACGCCGACGGTCGCGACACCCTCTACGATGAAGAGCCAGCGCCAGCCGGCGATGCCGTGCGCGTCGTGGAGGTTAGCGGTGATGGCGCCGGCGAGAAGACCACCAAAGGCGCCCGAGAGGACGGCGGCGGTGTAGAAGATGGCGAAGCGCTTGCCGAGCTCGGCGCGGGTGTACCAGCACGACAGGAGGAAGAGCACGCCGGGGAAGAAGCCGGCCTCGATGCAGCCCAGGACGAAGCGGAAGCCGAGGAGGGCGCCGTAGGTCTTTGAGATGGACATGAGCGCGCTGAGGGCGCCCCAGACGAGCATGATGCCGGGGAGGAAGATGGAGGGCCGGCTGCGGCTGAGGATCATGTTGGAGGGAACCTCGCAGATGAGGTAGCCGAAGAAGAAAATCGAGAGGACCCAGGCGTATCCATCGTCGGTGAGTGAGAGGTCCTTTTGCATTCCCGCGATCTTTGCGTTTCCCTGTGTAGCGTTAAAATGTCAGTTGGCCCGTGCTTTGGAGTAGCGTTGTTGAAATTTTTCATGCGATGCTTCGTTGCCCCTTATCGCCATGAGGGGAAAGGGAGAGGAGGAGGTGAGTGAGAAGGACTTACGATGTTTGTGCGGTCGACGTAGTTGAGGATGTACATGATCCAGAGCATGGGCATCTAGACTCAAAGTCAGAATCATCTCACCGAGGACATCTCAAGAGGCAATTGACATACCAGGTAAAGGTCAATCTTCCTGACGAGCTGCTTCTCCTCCTGTGTGCCGGGCACATAGTTCCTCAGTGCCTCAGCCAGTTCCGCATCCGCCTCGCTGACGACGGGCGCGTTCTTGTCTTCCTTCATCTCGAGAGATTGCTTGCGACCGTTCTCGAAACTCATGATTGCGATCACCTCGCTCGTGTTGTGTCGTTATCGTCGTCGATGTCGTCGAGTGTCGTCCGGTTTCCTTTGTCTACACCTGACTCGGAGCGGCTGAAAGTGGCGAATGCTCTCTCTCCCACACTGCAGTGTTGGTCTGTGTGTAGGGGCGACCTCTTGAGCGGAGCAGAACACGACGCGATCTTACTCGACTGGAAGATGCGACTGGGGTGGTTATTAAGAGGGGGAATTGAAAGATCCGGAGATCTGGAGACGATGAGGCTGTGAGGGATGAAACCTTCTTTCCATCCAAACACGGTAGCAATTAACAGCGACGTCTGATATATAATGTTCACAAAACGCGACTCGTGTCTAGTGCGTCGTGTCTCTGCCCGGGGTACTCCGTCCTTGCTCTGCTCTCCTCCCCCACGGGGTAGACCACAAACTGGGGAACGAACTAAAGGGGAACTAAAGGGGGGCCGCCTGGAAGTGTGGATGTCGAAGGAATCCGCTTGAGAAGGTGGGCAAAGTCTGGAGTTCTGGACCTGTCACGGACGAATCGTTCATCGTTGTGCTGGAAATCAGACAATGAACTATTGCTGTTGGACCAGACGAGGCGTGATTGGGCTGCATGCGTCGAGGACCGGATCTGGATCCATATCTTTGGGAGGGGGGCAGCCAACAAGCGAGAGCCAGCGCGGCCTTGTGTCCGGGTCTAAGTGACGGCCACCAATTGCGGCGATCCCTCCGATTGGCATCGGGCTTCGCCCCGTTCGAGCTTTCCCCGCCTTCAACCATGTGAAGCTTGAGATGAACATCACGAACGCTGCAAGTGTGCATATCAAACGTGAAAAAGCAAGGCTCGAGATGGGCAACTCATCAAATTGTGATCTCATTTAGTCGACGATGTTGTCGTCAGCCGGGCATCTGCGAATTCAACAAGTCTAGCATGTTGAGCGGATACTGCTCCGGCCCCATCCCAAAATTATTCATCATCTCTCCACTGAACATCCATTGGTTCCAGTCTTGGCCCATCTCCCCTTCATTCCAAACTTGAGGAATCTGTTGGCCTGGTTGACCGGGCTGGCCGGGCTGGCCTCCGGCGATGTATTGCCTCTCCTGGGGACCACGTTCCTTGAACTTGTCCAGCATGTTGCTCAGGCCGCGTCCGATGTAGTGAGCCACATGACGGGCGCAGCGGTTAGTTTCTTCCAATAATTGGACGACCCGCTCGATGAGAGAGACCACATCTTCGTAGCGTATGTCCAGCCTCGCTGGCTTCCACTGCGCGTGGACCTTCATCAAGAACATGGCGGCGTACGCGATGGTCGTCAGCAGGTACAGAGGCACGCCAATGACTGCTCTCCGCATATCGGTGTCTGTCAAGATCAGTTCCAATGCGGCAGACGCGCTTGCGATGGCGAGATTGATGAAGTCGCGGCGTTCATCGGACATGGCGTATTGGTCAGTAGGGTTGGATGGATTCAGACCCCGGAGACAGATGGAAAACAAAAGGAGACGGGCAAAGTGATAGTGGAGGATAACGCCCTTGGCAGGGTACTTTGAGATGTGTTTGTCCGGCACTGATGAAAGATATTAGCTGACAATTTGTTGGCACCAGGGGTTCAAACTGTCTTACCTAACCGAGTTTCCCATTGAAGCTTCCATCGGCCCAGATCGGCATCGTATCGCTTGAGTGCCTCAAACTCATCTCTGGCAACTTGCCTTGACGTGTCTGGTCCGAAGGTGTGGAAGACCCGACTCAAAATGATAAAGACACCAACCTGACTGTGCAAACGATGATCCGCTTGTGTGATGCCTGGCAGCAGAAGGAATGCCTCGTGATGCGTGATGGTAGCGTCCTCGTTAATGACTGGAGGCCTGCCGTACGCGATACTGAAATGATGGTCGCAGACGTAGAGCAAGTACCATAGCCGGGCCTTCTCGACGTGTTGTGGTCCCTTGTTGAGGGCTTTGGCGCAGAACTGATGAAGGTTTAGCTCCGTGGCGATTCGCACCGCAAGACCAGACACCTTCCAGCTGATGTCTGAAAGCCAAAATGCGCCGATGCAAAGTCCCCTCACATCGTCGAGACTGTGGTAGCGGTCGAACATGGTCTGGCTGGCTAGCTCCAAGAAAGTTGGGTAGCAAATATCGAAAGCTCGGCCTTCATCTTGTTCGTGCAGAGCAGTGACGGCAAGGATGGCGGCCGTGAGCAGAGGTGAAGACATGCGCGTGGCCGTGAGGTTGTCATGGACTAGTGCAATGCCTCCCCACAAGTACGCATTCAGGGTCCCACGGAACGTGGAGAAAAGCTGCTCGGCCTCTTGGACGCTAAACTTGCCCTGGGCAATGAAGTCTGGCTCTTGGGCCCGGCTGGATGGGAGGTGGACCCGCGCCCCAGGGTCGCTCCGGATGTTCCGCAGTTTGGTCACTTCGAAGAGGCTGGCCATGGGCGCGCTCACAATGGCCTGGTCTTCGCCGTTGTCTTGCGCCGTGGCCTCCGGAGAATTCTCCCGCGTCATTGCCGTAACATCGGGAGGCCGAACGGGGGACGGCCCCGTACCGGGACTGCTCTGTGATCCGGCCATGTTCTGGGGACTCTGGGACATGCCGGCGCCTTCGTGGTGGAAAGGTGGCACAGGCACGAGCTGTGGCATACTCAAAGCCC